TTTTACGTTCCCAGCGTACCTGAGGAACGTGCACTTGAAACTCTTGGGTTCCAGCTTCGTTTTCATCACGTCGTCCACATGATCGTACCCTTGTGATCCAAATACACGTAGGTGTTCCATCCGTGGCTTCACCTGGAACGCCAACTCGTACGGCGTGACATCAGAGTTTGATGTGTTCGTGGAACGGTTGATGAGATACACTGCAGTACTAACCGCTTCCGCCCACCACTGCGTCGACATAGACTTGTAGTGCAATATGCTTCTTTCCTTCTCTATGATAATACGGTTCATGCGCTCCGCAACTCCATTCTGCTGAGGGCTGTATGGAACGCAGCGCTGATCCACGATACCGTTCCGTTTGCATAGTTCCAAAACTGTCTTGTTCACGGACTCCGTTCCATTATCGGAACGTAGACATTTAAGGCGTCCCCCCCAACTGGTTTTCGTACAATGCCTTGAACGCCTTCATTTTTCTGCCCACCTCGCTCTTGCTCTTCATAAAGTACGCAACGACAAACCTTGAGTAGTCGTCTACGAACGTCAGAACATATTTGGCACCGCCCTTTCAGATCGTTCTCATTGGGACCATTACGTACGTGTGCACTAGTCCCAACACACGTGCCGTTCTCCTTAGCGATCGTGACGGGAACGTCGTCACGGTCTGCTTTCCCTTCATACATCCACCGCACAAAGTCTCGTTTCCATTTTTCACATGTGGGATACCAATTGTGGAACGTTGGGTCTTTGTCTGCGCATCCTTGTTAGGGTGACCCATGCTAGCGTGGCAAAGATTCCACTCGTTGTCAGGACCGGCGTATTGCACGAAGTGTGCCTCCTCCTGTTGACAGTCCAGCAGGAACGCCTTACCGACCTTCTTTCCGGACGCTATCGCAGCGTTCCGTCCCCAAATTACACAACTGGAACGCTGGAACTCTACGCTCATGCCTCGTTCCGCGAGCTTCTCAACCGACAATAACCGTCTATCGAGCCCCGGAATGTGGAGCACGTCCACCATTCGGATACGTGCACCGTCCAAACCAGTCAACCTGACCGTTCCAGTTCCTGCGACGCGCAGCTTCTTACCATCTGCCATCGTCACGTTGATGCCACTGTATAGTGCCTCGTACCCAAATAGGTCGTTCCGGTGAGGGGTCATGTGCGACGTCGCACCAATCGATCAGCCACCCGGCCGAGTGTTCCCCACCAACTACAAACACTGCATCGTCTTGACTGCCCTACTTCGCAGCAGGGCAGTCCCGCTTCATGTGACCTACTTGGTCACAGTTGAAACACTTGCCCTTGAAACCAACGTTCCGTTTCGGACCGTTCCATTTTCGATTGTTCGATTTTTGACCGTTCCCTGGGCCGTTCCGGAACTTGCCTGCGTTCCCATTCACTTGGAACGCCTTCTCTGTGATTTCCTTCTTCTCGAGTCGCTCGTACTGCTTCAACAGCTTTTCCTCGGCCTCGATGAGCGTCACACCCTTGGCGTTCTCCACGATAGACGAAATGAGCTCGTACTCAACGGGGAGGCTGCTCAGCAGCACCACCAGCTGGCATGCCTCGTCCATGGGCTCTCCCAGCGTCTGCAACCCGACGACCAGCTCGTCAAACTCATCCAGATGCTTGGCCATAGTCGATCCACTCTCTATCTTGAACTCATGGAGGCGACGCGTCATCGTCACGTGGTTGAGGAGCGTGATGCGGTTGTAGAGCTCTTGCAGCGTTCCTAAAGCTTCTATGGAACGAGTGGCCGACCGAATCTTGGTCTGATGCTGGAGTTCCACTCCCTGAGCGATGATGCCGAGCGCCTTGGCATCATTAACGAGCCACGCATCGGTGATCTCGTTCTCCGACTTGACGGCTTGAATATGCGCAAGCAGGCCCTTCCTGGCTAGCGTCATGCGCATATTCTACTCCCAGCGAAAATAGTTCCTACTCCGAGGAGGACTTCGGCGCGCTTGGTCGTCGTCATGTTTTGGAACGTTCCGGTAGAGTTGAGTGCGGCTGTTAAACCTGTTGTTGTTGTTAAAGGCAAATGCTGAAGTGAGTAGATTGAAGTCAATTGAATCTGTCCTCTAAACTTCTACTCTAGGGTTGTCCTCCTCGTTCTCCTCTTGTCAAGTGCTCCTGGCCATCCACCAAATTAACCGGTTTGGGAGCGGTCCATTTTGGAACGTCACGCTGATTAACCGAACCGTGCAGAGTCGGTGAATATCAACACGATAAGCTGGACGTTTTCGATGGCACTACAACATATTCCCATGTGCGGTCCGCCCGGGTGACCGAGGCAGATTGGTGGGTCTCTTACACTTGAAGATCCATCCTCGATGGACTTCTTAAGTGCAAACAAGCTCAAAGATTTGTTCACTCAACAGCCTGGAGGCCCCCTGTGGTGGCCATTTGCTAAAACAATTGATGTTGGAGATGGAGAATTCCGTTTTCGGGAACACATGGCTGAGCAGGTAGCGGGGTTTCGTCTTTCCGATAAAGATGGCGTCTTTGAATGGAATGTATCTTATTTACACAGTGGCGTTCTCTACTACCAAGTTCAAGAGCTCTTTTAAGGCATCATTCGAGCCAAAGATATTGGGGCGATCTGATCTGATAACGTTTTCGCCGCAACCAGTCTTGATAATCTTATTGACTTTCTGCAACTTGGTCATTTTACTTTAACCTTTTCGCACGCCTCTTGTTTAGTCTATAGTATACAACTAGAAGTCATTTATACATAAAGGGGCATTTCTCGCCCTCACGGTACTCCTTTTGAACTATCTCTTGTAACAAATCATTTAAGATCGGATGGTGATGCAATCTGCTTCATGAATTTGACTATATTAAAGTATTCTTAAGTGATTACGAATCGTACTGTAAATTCTATGCCGGAACGTATAGTTGAACTTCAGTTAAAAGGCGAGCGCCTTTGAAGCGTAGTCGTTAGTGCACCCTTAACTTTTTTCATAAAAAGTACCGATAAGGGCGCTCGGCGCCCTAACAATATTTTCACAAATTTTAGGTTTCGTGAGAAATTCCACGAGAAATATATTCCCAAATAAATTACCATCAAGTACCGTTACTCTCAAATAATTCCGAGTCTGATAGCCAGTGGTTTTGTTGATCACAACAAAAATCCACGTACGAGTTCTTAAGCACTGGCACAGGCGCCAGTGCTAAAGATGACGAGAGCGAGGGCGCGCCCGGCGTCACTGTGCTGGACGTTTGTTCTTCCTCTGGTAACGATGGCAGTGACGAAGACACTTCGACTATCTAAGCGATTCAAGTGAGGCGCTAGATGCCATACTCTACGAGATAGGTAAAGTTACACTACTACGAAGACCGTTTTTATGTATAACTCTAAACTTTTATACGTATATGAATTCCCTTCTCACGTGTCTTTGAATAGACACGCCACTTTCACGACGAAATCTGTCGCAAATACAGAATTAACACGACGGTCATCGTATTTTTTGACGTTGTCTCTGGAGTTCTACGCAACGGATTGCTGAACGACGCCGTGATTGATTTCGGAATCAGAATGATTGCAAAAAGTGTGGACGGCTGCATCGCATTTTCTTCGTTGATATTGGCTATTGGGTGGCCTGAACCACCAAGACAGCGGTTATCAGAGACACCTTTTGTGGTTATGCCCATAAATTTAAGCTCGAACCACTGGGGGTTTATTATTGTGGAGATCGCGTTTCTGTTAACGTGTACGCTCCTCTAGCTCAACATAGTGCACTTAGTCTAATTCATCAATTCACTTTCCAATTCCCCACCACGACAACAGTTTCCGACAGTACATGTACTGAAGGTGTATTTCTATGAGCCGCTAGACCATAAGTGCTACTGAAAAGAACTGGAAGATGATGGAAATTTCATTTGCTGTCATAACTGGAGAAATGGCACAGTGCCTGCGGTGCAAAAGAGCTTTTTCCTTAGGAAATTATCGCAATTCCCCACCACGACAACAGTTTTCGACAGTACATGTACTGAAGGTGTATTTCTATGAGCCGCTAGACCATAAGTGCTACTGAAAAGAACTGGAAGATGATGGAAATTTCATTTGCTGTCATAACTGGAGAAATGGCACAGTGCCTGCGGTGCAAAAGAGCTTTTTCCTTAGGAAATTATCGCGAAGTGGATCGACAAGCCCTCACAACCTGATTTAAAAAGCTGTGGAGTAATGGTCCGGGGTATTGTGTACGCACACTTGCGCAACACCCATCGATTTGAGCGCCATCATGTGACAGAAGCTTATGTAAGCGTGATGCGGCTTAAGACTAGCCTGGTTGTTGCTGTGCACGATGAAGCTGGTGCCACACAGTGAGAAAAAAATTGACGGAAAAGCAGAAGACGGACCAAGAGGTTAGTAAGATGCTGCTTCCACAATAATCTTGTAGCCATTCGTGGTTTTGTTAAACAATAAACATATATATATCGCTTTCCCTTTCCTACTTGTGCTTTTCGTCTTCTTCTTCTTATGTGTTAATGCGTTTCTTCATCTCCGACAAGATTGACAATAACGCTTATGGTGATACTTCGCATCAATTTTTTAAAATACGGTTATTTATTTTTAGCGATAAGGGCGCCCAAGGCTTTAGGGCGCCCTAACGCTTGTAGTTAAGGGCGCCCAAGTGGCTTAAAGGTGCTCCAAGCCTGCCGTGTTGTTGTAGTTAAGGGTGCACTAACGCCATTCCCTTTGAAGAGGCTGATTCCTACTGTTCTTTGCACAAACCATTAAAAGGGCGACTTCTGCGTCCTTTTGCCGCGAAAGGGTTAATAAATTTCGTCTCTCATTAAGTGTGACAGGTATTAATACTGAATATCTGTCGTAATGAGCTCACCGAACCTGTGCAACAAGCACTCAGGCTGTTGTGACATGAATTATGTAGATTAAGGGATAACAGGTCATTCAATACTTCCGCAGCCAATCTTAAGTTATATCGCAGTCTACGTGTCTGAAAGCACTAAGTTTGCAGTCCGCAGCGGTAAAGTTGCCCTCACATACGTCGAATCCATTTTCGGTGGGAAATTGACAAGCAGAGTACGCCAAAGGCGGTCCCAAGCAGGTCGATGTGGATGAGTTGGTGGAGGTTTTCGAGGTCTTGAACTGTTGGTTGCTCGTAATCCAATGGCGTAGTGTCGAGGTCCGATGCGAGGCCGAGAGGAAGTGTAGTACAGTGTGGTCCTCTCCATCCAACCGCTGAGCTGGCGGAGAAGTTGGAGAAGATGAAGTGGTTATCTGGAATATCGAGTGATTAACGGATAGTATGTCCGACGAGCTGCCATCTTGAGATGATAAGCTTGTAGCGAAGTGGCTAAGTCCCACAGCGGCTGTGAGAGCAGAGAGCGGTGCAGCTGATGTGAAGGCGTAACGGAGCTGGTGATCTTTGCGCAACCTTTGGCGATGGAAACTCTCTAGGCCTCGGAGCTAATCTTGGGTCAGCGTCCACGTACCACAGTTATATAACATGATTGGGAGAAAGCAGGCCGAGTACAGACACAGACGCGTGGCTTCGGAGACCTTGTTGGCCGAGTCCAGGTGATCGGCAGTGAGGTGTTTCCGGATGGTCAAATCTTCGACGTCGCTTAGCAAAGAGCCTAGTTTGCGCGTGTGACGCCACTTTCCTCGACTGGTCGCTGCAAGATGTTACGGGTCCCCTATAGGGATTAGCTCATATGAGAGGCAGACGATTCTATTTGGTCATTAACGACGACTAGATGTATTTTTGATCTTAAGCCTGGTTATCAACGTCGGTTCCTTTGGATACCGTGGTCGAACGAAGCTTATCGACTCGCACTGTATCCAGGGCGTTGTTATGCAAACACTGCATAGTATTCTCTACATCCTATTCCGTGCCATCGCGTACTGATCTACCTCATCTGGGTGGTTAATGCGTAATTTTTCTTTGATAACTTTGGACAGTTCCCGAGCTTGTCGACGTGCGCAATTCTGTTGAACTTGTTTAAAGTATCCATTTTCCAACATTCCTCTGTCTAGTGACAGATTATTTTCTGCCAGCAAGCCTGAGCATATGCACAGCCCCAGAATATGTGCTCCATAGTCTCCTTGGTTTCACGACAACATTTGAGCTTCTTGCAACAGTTGTCAACTAGACGTGCCGGGTGGTGTATGTTTAATTGTATGTGCTCTACTCGGTAACAGACCCATACCTGGTCCTCCGTTAATTCATTGTGATGAGCCCTTCTTGGGGTCTTGATCCAGGGCTGCAGCTTGCCAGTAACTCGTTTTTGCCGCGTGCTGAAGCTTGGCCACCGTTTCGATAAAATATTCTCCTTCACGTCGCTACGCCTTAAAAACTAGTTTCTTGATTGTCTGCAGAACATGTTTGTTTGCAATTGACTGCGATACTGTCCACGGAAAGGCGTGAAGCCTCCGGTGAGCTGTAAATACAACGCTCTCTTCACGACCTCGCTGCTGTAGCGTCCTCATCTCCTTCGTGATCTCCAAATTGTGCACCGCCGAGTCATGCAACCGCCAATGGATTCCATTTGGTTGATGAATCGGGTCGATTGGAGCTTGCTGATGGCCGTCTTTGTCGGTTGCTGTACCTCGACCTACCGCTTTCTCCACTGATTCCCACTTATATTTGGACTGTAGGTACGGTGAGTCACTGAACTTCCTACTCGTAGTGTCTTGCCGATGGTTGGCTGTGGAATACACCACAGCTAACCATAGCGAACCATCGGGGAGACACTACGAGTAGGAACTACAGTGACTATGACACATCCACCGTTCCTACGCTGCTTAAGACCGTGATGCTTCACCGCCGAAGTTTCGCTGGTTGATCTCGTGTATCCGCTTTGCCAGGAATTGTCATTGTATATGCCCCCGTTCCGATTGATGTTTAACTGTTCTAACGTGCATCGTGAAATTCTGTTATACTTCTTGCTCGTCCCGACTGGTCCATCAGACTCGGATTGTTATTCCAGTTGTAGGATGACCAGTATGGCTTCTCCTGTGACGTGAGGCTCGATAGGGAGTCCCTATTAGGGACTCAGTAAAATCTTTATTAAACGCTATATTCCATTCTTCCGCGTTAGCAGTACGTTCTGACGGAACCACCGGTTCTTGTAGTTGTTGTTGCGATCGTTGCTTACTGTGGTCTGTGCGTTTCGTCGAAACTATCCAGCTGCTAAGTAGACTTTGTAATTCAATAAATGGTGTTCTTTTTCGTCGATTGGGCTCCTTGAGCGATTAGCTTATATGTACAACGTATTAAGTACAATCCAGCTGACCTAGCTAATACCACAGAAGCGCGAGAAGGGGAGCATTGTTGCAGTCGTCCGCAGATGTCGCTCGATTTAGGAAAATACCGCAAAGAACACGTAGGTCGCTTTTTATGCAAGGGGCCGCTTGGATCGTGAGACTCGGCTCCTCGCTTGGGGGCATTATTTGTCGACAATCGGTAGGAAGTAGACATTGTACGTGTAAATGAATTCACTATTAAACGCGTGCCGGACGCGTTTTGGCCCCCGCCGGGGCCTCGTCAGCGGCTTTACCAACCGAGAAGTGAGAGCTACTTGCCTCATTCGGTCTGTCTCTACTTCAACCTTCTAGAACATTCTATAGACACATATCTACTGTGGTGTCGACCTATACTACCGTATGTACTCAATAAGGTACAGTACTTCCAACACAATCGACGAGACTTATTCTAAGCGCCGATTTGATTCTTCATCTAGAGCGGGAAACATTGCTAAAAGGTGTTTTTTACGATATCAAAGTAGCTAACAGCATAATTTTTGGAAATGAACTCGCTTAATTGCAACAAATTGTTGCGTGTTCCCAGGAATCATCGCCCTCCTCGTCGGTGAGTGGAAGCAAACCGCCTACCCTTTGAAACCTCGAATGAAAAAAACCGCGCCCACAACAGGCATTACATGCACTATGAATGTGTTTGAAAATATCATCGAGGGTGCCAAATTGTATCACAGACATGTATTAGTCATCACTAAGACGAAGAATATGTGACCCCGTAAAACAAATTGATGCTTGTAAACATTTCTAATTTTTTTAAAAATCGCCTTTACATCTGACCCTTCGTTTTTCTTACTTTAGTGAATTTCTCAGGACTTCAAGTTAGACGAAGTGTGAATGATCGTCAAAATCGGTAATTCTATATTTTAGAACGGGAGGTAGTGCCTAACAAGCGACAGTGAAATTGACGGGGATTCCAGTACTATGGCAAGTAGCATCAATTTGAACGACGGAGATCTTCGTGAGATCGTCACGCGTCTTATTCGAGAGAACCCTTGTGACAAGAAGTGCTTGAAGGACATGGAGTTCAAACAGCTCCTGTGTTCGCTATCGCAAATGACAAGCGGTGAGAAGAAGCAGAGCATGCCGTAAGAGTCCGGACTCAGCTGTAGTGGTCCAGGATATTCGCCGCGAGTACGACGGTATCACTACGGACGCTACCCACGTACACGTCCTACTAACAGCGCACATAGATCTTTTGCCAAACCCTTCTCCGAATTCCGAAAAGATCCAGACCTTCTACAATAAGGTCCGCCCATTTGTTCCTGAGAAGTTCCAAAATGACCCATTGGCCCCTTTCAGCAAAAATATAACCTGGAACCTGAAAAAAAAAGTTCCAAGCTTTGTTTTTCCCATGCGTTCAGCAAATCTTCCCCTGGAGGTGCTGCGTGCTCTCCACAATCATTCTGGCTATATATTCTAAGAGGTCGCGGCCCATGAACGTCGGACTGCTGCTAATGCTTCTCTTGGAGGGGATTCCTCCTCCAGCTGGCATGGGCGGACAAGCAAGACACCTCATCCAGCAAGCGTACCAAGCAGAACTCGATGTGATAGCCGAAGTAGCAGCTCCAAAGGATCGGGAGATTCTCGCGAAGCAGCGCAGCTCACACTGGGCTAAGATGTTGTTCTCTTCGCGCATCTACTTCGATGGATCGATGAGTAACCTATTTCGCATGGATAGCTCTACAATTGGCGCTTTGATACGGACTGTGACCCCCCATCTCACAACAGGAAGAATGGCACCAGATGCTGTGTTGCCTCCAGTGAGAGTAGCTGTCTTCTTGTATCTATGTGCTCAGGGCACATCGCTGGAAGCCACAGCAGATCGTTTTGCCATTGGGCCATCTACAGTCTCCGGTATCGTGCGCGAGGTGTCGTCCATTGTATGCCAAGAGCTCACGGATTTAGTAGCTTTCCCCCCTTTGGTACAATGTGCTTCCCATTTTACTGAGTTGTGTGGTGTGCCACAGATTGTGGGCTGTATTGATGGATCACATATACCTATTGCTCGACCTAGCGATGATGGAGACATGTATTACAATCGAAAATGCTGGTATAGTGTAGTATTGCAAGCCGTTGTCGATAGGAGGGAGAGGTTTTGCGACCTGGATTGCAAGTGGCCAGGACGCGTAGGTGGCAGTCGTGTGTTTCGCAACAGCACATTGGGTCGGGTGTTTCCCAGTGTGTCTGCGGCTGCGGCAAGTGTGGCGATACCGACTGGAGATGACACCCATGTAAATCTGCCACCGTTTTTGCTAGGAGATTCTGGCTATCAAAATACCAATTTCTTAGTGACAACATTTAAGCTGGCGGAGACAGAAGATGAACTTTGCAAAGACCTCAACGAGCATCTTACTCGCGCACGTTACCGTGTAGAATGTGCGTTTGGACAGCTCAAATGTAGGTGGCGCATTTTGCTCCGGGGGGTCGATTTGGACACGGAGATTGCTCCAGACATTGTGTACGCTTTGTGCATCATTCAAAACTTCCTAATGGACTACAGTGATACTGTCGCTATCGATGAAGAAGAAGTAAAGAGTGTGGTGAAGTGCTTTCTCAGAAATAAGAGAATGGTCCTGACGCGGGGTCACTATCCCGAATCAGTGACAATTTCAAGTGATTATAGAGGATTTGGGTTGTTTGGCACGGGTGCAAGTTGCCTGTGGTGGATTAGCCATGGCGAGCAGCACCCCGTATGGAATGACGATGGATCTGATATGAGCGATGTACGAGAAGGCAAGATCCACCAAGACTTACCTCGGATCCACCCTTACCTGGATTCACTAAGATGGATATGGGATATACTATACAAGAGTGGATCGAGTGTGGATCCTATGAAGGAAGGATGGTCGGTGCCCTCTGACGGTGGATCTAGTAGCCACGGCTAATGAAGAGTCAAGATCCACCGCGAGGTACCCCGGATCCCATACTTCTGAGTTCGTATCCAAGGAGGGAGGATCCCGCCTGGAGGGACCTGGATCCAGGGTATAGGGATGAGGGATACAGTGGATCTCGAACTTTCGTGGGACAACGGAGATCACAGACGGTTGCGAGATGATGTTGGATGATTGGAGAGCTCGGATCCACGGCGAGTGTACCATTACAGTGAGGTGGATCCAAGCGACCTGGATCCGGATGAGTGTACCCATAATAGGGTGACCATGATGATTACGTCATATATCCGGTGGATCTGAAGATAACACAGCTGGGATGATGGGTCAAGGGAAGAAGGGACATGCAGCCGAGCCTGGTAAGGGATTTAGCAGATGAAAGACATAGAAGGTAGAAACCCAGGCAGGTATAGGCTTAAATATCAATACAGACTCCAATTTGCACAGTGACACGCAAGTGCCTTCCTGCCCTCAAGAACCGGAACTACATTGGCCGTACGAGCTCCGAGAAGGTTGGGAATTGCGAATCTAGTGTTGGTAGTGATAACTGGATAATACATTGGCCAGATCCTACAACCTAGTGAGCTTTTCCTTTACTTGTGCAGATCCGACAGGTTAACCGAATTTACTACTTGGTCGGTTACACCCTAGGGGCTCTCAACTCTCAAGATCCCGTCACAGGAGGCGGCAAGTACGACTTAAAGGACAACACAAAGGCAAGGGAACACACCCGCAAGGCAACCCTACGGCTAGATCCACGATCTAGGCCCCGGATCCATAAGCTCGAATATTCGCTTAGGATACGGAACCATCCACGGACGCAGAGTGAAGATTTTCCACTGCTGCTCCACCCCATCCCCACGTCTCGCCAAGACACTCAAGCTTCACCA